CTCAAACCCAGGTACTGTGATATGGGATGTAGGCATTCAAGAGGGGCTTTTTCTTTTTCTTTCTTTCCTTTTTTTTTTTTTTTTTAAAGATGTATTCATTTACTTTAGAGGCAGAGTTACAGAGAGAGAGAGAGAGAGAGGTCTTCTGTCCACTGGGTCACTCCCCAGATGGCTGCAACGGCTGCCAGTGGTCTTAACTACTGCACCAAAGGTCTACCCCTCCTGGTACTTATTTCTATAGCTCATTTATTTAATTTTATTTTGAATTATTTCTTCTCACTTTATTTGAAAGGCAGAGGCAGAAAGAGACAGAAATCTTCTATCTGCTGGTTTATTTCCCAAATTCCTGCAACAGCCAGGACTGATTCTGGCTGAAGCCAGGAGCCCAGACCTCAGTTCGGGTCTCCCAAGTGGGTGGTAGAAGCTGAAATACTTGAGCCGTCTCAGGGCACTGACTAGTGGAAGTGGAGGAGCCAGGACTAGAACGAGGCACCCTAATACAGGTGCAGGTGTCCCGAGTGGCGACGCAGCCTTTGAGCCAAATGTCTGCCTGCCCTGGGGCTTATTTCTGCACCTCACTGAGGTTGGGGTCAGGGTCTGGCACAGCAGTTAGGCTGCGGCCTCTGATGCCCTCATCCCCTATCGGAGGTCAGCTCCTCTGCTTTTGTTTTGTGTGTGTGTGTGTGCTTTTTAAAAAAAAATTTTTTTATTTGAAAGGCAGAATTACAGAGAGAAAGAGACAGAGAGAGATGTCTTCTATCCCTTGGTTTACTCCCCAGATGGCCATAATGGCCAAGGCTGGGCCAGGCCGAGGCCAGGAGCCTGGGACTCCATCCAGGTCTCTCATGTGGGTGGCAGGGTTCCAAGCACTTGGGCCATCTTCTGTTGCTTTCCCAGACTCATTAGCAGGGAGCTGGATCAGAAGCGGAGCAACTGGGATTCTAACCAGCGCCCATATGAGATGCCAGTGTTGCAGGCGTGGCTTAACCTGCTGTATCACAATGCTGGCCTGGAAGAAAGAACTACTTTTGGTTTTGCAAATAGATCCCTGAACTACTGATGGAGACAACACAACTCAAAAAAGTATTTTTGAACCCCACAGAGTTCAAGTGCTGGTATTGTGGCGCCGTGGTGCCACACGTGCTCTGGCCTGTGGTGCCAGCATCCTATGTGGAAACACCAGTTCCTTCAGGTCCCAGCTGCTTCACTTCCCATCCAGCTTCCTGCTGTTGTCCTTGGGAAGGCAAGAGAAGATGGCCCAAGTACATGGGCACCTACCACCCACATAGGAGATCGGAATAGGATTTCTGGCTCCTGGTTTCAGCCTGATGCAGATCTGGCTGTTGTGGCCATCTGGGGAGTGAACCACTGCATGGAAGATCTCCGTCTCTTGCTCTCTCATTGTCACTCTGCCTTTCAAATAAAATAATTTAATGAACGTTAAAACACACACACACAAACTTTGGGTCAGGTGTTTGGTATAGCAGTTAAGATGCTTTTTGGAAAGCCTGCATCGCATCTCAGAGTCCTGGCTCTGCTCCCAATTCCAACGTCTCGCTAATGTGCACCCTGGGAGGCAGCAGAGATGGCTCAAATAGTTGCATCCCTGCCAAAAAAGTGGGAGACTGGGACTGGGTTTGCAGGCCTCTGGGGAGTGAACCAGCAGACAGAGAATTCTGTGTCTGCTTCACACACACACACACACAGAGGCAGGCACAATTCAATCTTTCTTGAAACCCTACTACAATGCACTTTCGAATTTTAAAACAATGGGTTCAAAGGCAGGCTACAAAAGGAAGTTACTGGTACCACTTTCACTTAGTTGAGAAAAATGTTAACTTTCATGAGCTTGAAAAAAAATGGATTATTCAGAAGCACTGCTGTTCCCAGCTATGTTTGGTTTTCACTGAGCATTTTGGCTCTGGATAAACAGAGTTTGCTCCTGTCTGTGCGGCTCTGTGTGGGGCCTGTGGGCAGGAGGGAACGGACCTCAAGTGCAGATCTTCTGAGTCACCGGGCCAAGTCGTCCCCTCCTGCCCCCAGAGGTGGGGCCGCAACCAATAGGCTCCTCCTGGCCCTGCTCACAGCCGCTTCCCAACCCACCCGATGCAGCCAGAAGATGGACACAGCGGAACCTGAGGCTTGGGACCAGATGGAAAGCCGGGGAATTCCTTGAGAAAATCAACTGAGCTTCGTCTAGACAAGTTCAAAACGTGCAAACTTGAGGACGCAGGAAAATTCCCAAAACAACTCTTGACCGTGGGCCCAGCAGCCACACATAGGAACGTTCACATCAGCACTGTAAGCAACAGCAAAAACCCAGAACTGCCAGCAGCCCGAACGGCCACTGATAGCGCAGAGTGCTCACGTATCGGAACATGAGACAGGACGGCCACAGCAAGTGTCACAGATACCACACACGTCATGTGGGGAGGTGAGCAAAGCAAAGTTTGCATAAAGATACTTTATTATTATTATTATTGAAAACAGTTCGTCATTAGAAAGGCAGAGCAACAGAGAAAGAAGGGAAGAGAGAGGGAGAGGAAAAAAAAAGAGGTCTTCTGTTTACTGATCTACTCCCCAAATGCCCTCAAAGGCCAGAGCTACTCCAGGCTGAAGCCAAAAGCCAGAAACTCTACCCAAGTCTCCCAGGTGGGTGGCAGGAGTCCAGGTACTTGGGCCATCATCGGCTGCCTCTCAAGCACATTAGCAGGAAGCTGGGTCAGAAGAGGCGAGACTCAATTCCAGGCACTCTAATAGGGAATGCAGGACCCCCAGGCGGCAGCTTAACCTGCTGAGTCTCCAGCAAGCTGAAGAAAACAGACAGCATGAGGTATTTTACGCAATGTTAAAAGACAAGCAATAATGGCTGGCGCCGCAGCTCACTAGGCTAATCCTCCATCTGCGGCGCTGGCACCCCGGGTTCTAGTCCCGGTTGGGGCATCAGATTCTGTCCCGGTTGCTCCTCTTCCAGTGCAGCTCTCTGCAGTGGCCCGGCAAGGCAGTGGAGGATGGCCCAAGTGCTTGGGCCCTGCACGTGCATGGGAGACCAGGAGGAAGCACCTGGCTCCTGGCTTCGGATCACAGCATGCTGGCCGTAGTGTCCATTTGTAGGGTGAACCAACGGAAAAGGAAGACCTTTCTCTCTATCTATGTCTACCTCTGGCTGTCAAAAAAAAAAAAAAAAAAAAAAAAAGACAAGCAATACCAGCGTATTATTCAGAGATGCCTATTTTGGGATTAAAAGTGGAAAGAAAAGTGAGAGGATGACTAACAAAAATTTGGGAGGGGTTTGGGGGGGTGTGCATTGTGATCCACATCTTAAATGGGTTGTACATCGTTGGGTGTTCATTTTTCATGCTCTGCTTTTGTAAGTTATTCTTTTTTTAAAAAAGGATTTAATTATTTATTTGAAAGGCAGAGTTTCAGAGAGGCAGAGAGAGAGAGAGAAAAAAAAAGAGAAAGAGAGAGGTCTTCCTTCTGCTGGTTCACTCCCCAAATGGCTGCAACAGCCGGAGCTGAGCTGATCTGAAGCCAGGAGCCGGGAGCTTCTTCAATGTCTCCCACACGGGTGCAGGGGCCCAAACACTTGGGCCATCTTCTACTGCTTTCCCAGGCCAAAGCAGGGAGCTGGATTGGAAGTGGAGCAGCCGGGACTCAAACCAGCATCCATATGGGGTGCTGGCACCGCAGGCGGCAGCCTTACCCACTACACCACAGCACCGGCCCCACGTTATTCTTTTGCATACATTTAATATTTGATTAAATCTAGAAAAACTAGATAGAGGCAGAGATTCCCGGCAAAGGATGTGATTATAAAACCTTGTCCTTATAATCCCGAAACTCAAAATTCATCATCTCTCTCTTTGTTTAACAGTCAGACAAACAAAATGAAAAGGCCAAGTTTATATATGGAGCAAATATGGATGGAAAAACGTGACCCAAGAGCCCAGAGTCTCTCGGCCTTCTGCATCACATTTGCCTTGTAGCGTTTCTTCTTCTCTATGTGTCATTTACTATTGCAGTCACAAGGCTTTCTTAAGGCTCTCATACGCCAGGCATGGTTTAGGTCAGGAGGACTGGACAGTAGAGCACAAGACAGACGTAGTTCCTTCCCTGGTGGAAGGGACAGAGGTGGTGAACGAGGGCAGGTGCTGCATAGAAAAAGTGCAGGAGGCTGGGAGAGCTCAGGGCAGCAGCTGGCTTCCCAGCCTGGCGACGCGGACTTAGGAGAGGCATACGGAGGCATAGTGTGTGCCAGGCCACGTTGTGAGCATTTTACAACAGTGATTTACACACCATATATATATATATATATATATAAGATTTATTTATTTATTTGAAAGCCAGAATTACACAGAGAGAGGAAAGGCAGAGAGGTCTTCCATTCAATGGTTCACTCCCCAGATGGCCTCAACAGCCAGAGCTGCGCCAATCCAAAGCCAGGAGCCAGGAGCTTCCTCCGGGTCTCCCATGTGGGTTTCAGGGGTCCAAGGACTTGGGCCATCTTCTACTGCTTTCCCAGGCCATAGCAGAGAGCTGGATTGTAAGTGGAGCAGCCAAGACTCGAACTTGCACCCATATGAGATGCCGGCCCTGCAGGCCAGGGCATTAACCTGCTGCGCCACAGTGCTGACCCCTACACACCGTATATTAACTCATTGAATCCTCACCTTGCAATGGCCTCACTGAGGTAGGTGCTCCCATCGTCTCTCTTTTACAGAAGAGAACACTGAGTGGCACAGAGGGGTTAAGGGACTAGCTCAAGGTCACACAGCTCCTAAGTGCTAGGCCAGGACCCAAACCCCAGCACCCCGGAGTTCTTCAGCACCACTCCCTGCGGCAGTGACAGCCGGCCGGGACCGGAGGATGACGGGAAGTCAAGCAGGGAGAGAGGAGGGGGACAACGGCTCCAGACAGAGGCCCCACCTGTGCAGCCTTGAAGGTCACACAAGGAGCTGAAAGAAATATTTAGCCACAGAAAGCGCAAAATCCCCTACCAGCTGAGAAGAGTGCTTCTTCACTTCTTTTCTTCCAGGCCTTGGCTCAGGAGCGACCACGCAGGGCTGGGGCCAGGGCTGGGGGAGGTGGCTTGAGCCCTCTGGCTGTTTTCTCTGGGCGAGATGCAGACTTTGGTGCCAGGGGTCTGAGGGTTTCTAAAGGCCCATGGCAACAGCTGCCAGGGCTCCTGGGAAAGTCCGCTGGCATCCGGGGCCCTGCAGCCTTGGCAGCTACTCCACGCCCTCCTGGCCTTCCCCCCACCCCACCCCAAATGGACCCAACAGCAATCAAGAGCAAGAACCTAAAGCACGACCTAGCAAACAGCTGGCGAAGTATTTTTAAAATCCAATTTAAAGTTGTATATGTGTATGCCCTGGGTGAATTTCCCTGGAGGACTCTAGCTTTCAAGTGGAAATTTTTTTTTTCAGTCAAATAAGGCAATCTCTATTTGATTCCATCAAGCCCGAGTACAGGGCCCTGCAGCCACTTAAATCCACTTTAAGCGCAAAGAAGTCAGCGCTCAGGAGTCGGGGCCACTCCGGCACCCAGAGCGAAAGGTCAGCACAGCTGATATTTATCATGCTAGCACTGTTAGTGGGCGTGGGGCTCTGTCCAGCAGGGGAGGTGAAATAAGCCATGAATTAGGGCTGCAGGAGAGGAGGGGAGCCAGACTTGCAGGGGAAGCGGGTGGGGGGGTCTGCCCATTGTCACCCAGCTTCCTGAAACTTGCAATCAAATGAAACCAGAGGACCCAGAAGAAACACGAGTGATGAGAGAGCAGGGTTCTGGGGCGGCGAATGGGCAGCGGGCCCAGCGCCCCACAGCCTGCCCATCCCTGTCTGGCCGCTGCCTGTTTGTGATCCTGCAGCCAGCCGCCAGGCTTAGGCCTCAGGCGCCAATGGAGAGATAAAGCGTCCTGTATCCTGTCCCCGAGCCAGCAGCACCGTGTCCCCTGCAAGGACGGCAACATTTTGCTTCTAACAAACACTTTGTGCATGTAGCCTCCCGGATTTACTTGTCTGGGCTTTTCTTTCTGAGGCCGAAAGTTACAAACTGGACAGATCGATGAGAGACGTTTTCTGCTTCTCCCCACTACTCATACACACACACACACACACACACACACACACACGCACACGCAGGTTATGAGTCCGAGCAATGCTGGAGAGCCGTCCTGGGGAGACTGGAAAGGCCCGGAACCACTCCTCTAACAGAGGCGCTTTGTGCTGTGCCGGTGCTGATGGAGCCCGCGGAGGCCCTGCAGGTGGCTGCTGGAGAGATGTAAGACGTAGTGCTGTCAGGAGAGGGAGACGAGTGGGTCTGGGGGGGCTCGTAGCTGCCGTTACAAAGTGATCACCATTTCACCACGCAGCTCATGTTCAAGTCTCGTCATTTTAAAAGCCCTTCTTGTGCTGAAACAATGGATCCCGGCCCTGAGCATGTGCCAGGGTCTGGTGTATGGCAGATACTCCAAAAAATATTACCCAGTATCATTATTGAGCTGAAAGCTGCTTGCCCAAAATTTCGAGCCATTGGCCCAAGGCTGTCTTCAAGAGGAACCCAGTCCTCATCTCATTCCCTTTGCTCTTATTTCCATGAGAACTGTCTTTAGCGCCTCCCACCACACCTGACATAGCATGGCTTCCAGACACACCTCCAGGGCTGCCCTCCATAGGCAAGTCAAGGTATCAATAAGCCTTCTTAGACATTTAAACGTGGTCCACAGGAATGAACATAATATTGCAGTAATTATCTCACCATCCAAACAGTGGACAAGTGCCACTTTACCTCCCTCACATTTTTATACCTAAACCATTACACCAGGCATGTGTGAGGTACTGGACCCACAAAGATGAATGAAGTCTGACCCACTTTGTTCTTATCTCCATCATACCTTCCACCGTATCTTCTACCATACAATACCTCCAGACTGGAAACTACCCAAACTGCCATTGTGTTTGCGTGGATACGGAAGTTATGGTCTATTCATACAATGGAGTGTTTATGTGGCAAGGGAAATGACAGCATGAAACAATATGGATGTATCTGGCAAACACCATGATGATTAAAAAAGCAGATCAAAAAAAACAGTACATACTATATTTATTTTGTTTTTAAAATTTACAGAAAGTCAAAACGAACCTCCCTTGTTGAAAGATCAGGTAGGGGAGAGAGGGATAATATTGAGAGCACTGGGAGAGGTTGAGCTTGGTTTTCTCATCTGGCACTGGGTTGTGGGGTGTAACTGGGTTTTAACCACATAAACAGGGAGAGGGCTGAGCTGTTAAAGGTGTTTACTCCTAAGAGTCTCGTTAGTAGCCTGAAGGAGGAGATGAAATCGGCCATAAAGATGAGAGTGGAAGTGAGAGATGAGAGTGAAGCAAGGGAATATTTAGCTGGGGAGTCAGTCAGAACCGTCAAGGAGAAGTGTTGCATCAGAAAAAGGCTTGAAGGTGGCATGGCGGTATAAGCCGTGAATCCAGCATGGGGTCACGCTTGTTGGTTGGGTGGCCTCTTTAGGAATATAAGCAGAAAATCTAGGGTTGGGATTTTACTGTGCGGATGTGACAAGAGCAGGAGAATTGGCACTGGTGGGAGAATAACTTAAAAAAAAAAATCAGTCATGGTGTCCAGCCAGGAGCAGAAAACAGGCATGTGTGACCCTACGGGCCCCTGGTTTTCCACTCACAGCTCTCATCCCGCCTTCTCAGCCCCTCTTCTCTTCCTCTATCCAACCCTTAGGATCAGGGATCTCCAGAGTCTCACCTTGAACTAGGCCTCGTTTTGGTGTACACAATTTCCTTACACTTACTTTCAACTGCACGCTACCTGACATTGCTGTCTGCAGAAGCAGCCTGGCCCACACCTGATCCTGCTTGTCCTTCTCCAACCCAGCATTCTCTGCGCTCCAGATCCACACACCAATGCAACAAGTTTGGACTCAACATGGCCCTCAGCTTACCACATTCAAAAGTGAATCCACGGTGCAGGCAGGCTTTTGGCTTGCTGATTAAGATGCCGGTTGAGACACACATGTGCCATCTCGGAGAGCTGAGTTCAATTCCTGAATCCAGCTTCCTGCCAACACAGACTCTAGGAGACAACCGTGGTGGCTCAAGCAACTGGGTGCCTGCCACCCACATGGAAGACATGATGGACTTCCAGGGTTTGGGCCTGGACCGGCCCAGCCATTGTAGGCAACTGGAGAGTGAACCAGCACATAGGAGTGCTCTTTCTCTGTCTCTCTGCCTTTCAAAAACAAAAGCAATAAAAGTGAACTCAATATTTGCTTCTCCTGCGTCCTCTGGCCTCTAACCCTCTGCCCCCTCCTGACTGTTTCCTCGGGTGCTTGGGCCACCTCCTTCATTCAGCCGCTTTCTCATCCTCTTCGTCACCAAGGCTACCACTTTCCCTTTCTGACCATCCTCCCACCCCGACCATCCCTTCCAATCAGAGCCCTGCCCTGTTGCAAAAACTTTCCAAAGTCTCCTTATGGCACGATGGCACCACGGGCGGCGGCTTTACCCACTACACCATGGCGCCGGTCCTGGGATCTCTCATCTTGAGCTCTATACGTTCCTTGTCTGTTTTCAAAATCTCTATATTTTTTTAATGGTCTTATAAAGGCCAGTGTTGTGGTGTGCAGGTAAAGCTGTCACCTACAATTCAGGTATCCTGTTTAGGTGCCAGTTCTAGTCCTGGCTACTCCACTTCCAATCCAGCTCCCTGCTAATGCACTTGGGAAAGCAGTGGAAGATGGCCCAAGTGCTTGGGCCCCTGAACCCACATGAGAGACCAGGATGAAGCTCCTGGCTCTGAATTTAGCCTGGCCTAACCCTAACTGTTGTGGCCATTTGGGGAGTGAACCAGCAGATGGAGGATCTCTCTCTCTCTCTCTGTCTCTCCCTCTCTCTGTGTAACTCTACCTTTAATATGAATATATAAATATTTTTTAGAAGTCTTATATTCACCTGGCGTAAGAGTCCAAGTATTATAAAAAAAGTGCCAGGGCTGGTGCTGTGGCGTAGCAGGTAAAGCCGCTGCCTACAGTACCAGAATGTCATACGGGCGCCAGTTGGAGTCCCAGCTGCTCCACTTCCAATCCAGCTCTCTGCTATGGCCTGAGAAAACAGTGGAAGATGGCCCAAGTCCTTGGGCCCCTGCACCTGCGTGGGAGACCTGGGAAGAAGCTCCTGGCTCCTGGCTTCAGATCGGCTCAGCTCCGCTGCTGCAACCATTTGGAGAGAGAACCAGCAGAAAGATTTCCTTCTCTCTCTCTCTGCCTCTGCTTCACTATCATTCTGCCTTTCAAATAAATAAATCTTAATAAAAAAAATTGGGGTGGATTGTCAAACAAAAAACAAAAGTTATCTTCTCCCTCTGACCACCAGTGTCATTTTCCAAAAGTTATGACCATTTGCTGTGGATTCCTTTTGAAAACAAGTCTACATTTACCTGTATACCTATTTTTTAAATTTAACACAAATGTAATCATATTGCCATGTACATTGGGTTTTTTTCCAACGTGATATATTTCAAAGTTCTTTTCCAGATCAGCATATGCGGTTCCACCTCAGGTTTTAATGACTGCAGACTTTTCCATGACATCAGTGTTGGTGTCTGACCCTCTGCTGATGGATGTGCTTTTTATTACGAAAGTGTTGCAGTGGACATCCCTGCACATGATTTTGGTATAATTCTGTCAATGTTTCCCTAGGGCACATTCCTAGTGGTAGAATTGCTGAGTCAATGGGTATGAGTTTTCAAAATGTTGACAGACATTGCTAAATTACCCTGCAGAAGATCTCAATCTGTTTACACTCCCAGCAATCAGGTAGGAGAGTGCCTATTTCTTCATAATCCTGTAAACACTGGGCATTACCAAACTTTTGTTTGTTTTCCAATCTGATAAAAAATGGAATCTAGTTTTACTTTGCATTTCTTTGACTATGAGTGAGGGTGGATATTTTCCCACATATGTATTGGCTATTCTTATTGCTCATAAATAGTTCATATCCCCTGTAGGATAGCTATGTTAGTAAGTCTGGATGTTTGAACCGTCACCTTGTCGCCTGGGGAAGTTAACAGAGTGATAGGAATACATGAAGTTCACCTTTGCCCAAGTAGAG